CAATTCCAAGACTTCCCAAGCGATCTAGAAACGGAAATTAGACATTGGAATCATTTGCAATTGATTCAATACTTAAGTACAGTTATCAATGAATCACATTAAATTTGCATTTAAAATTGGATAAATCAATTCGACAATAAGCAAAGGTATAATTCGATATAACTTAATTGGATGAGATTTCCTAACATTATAATTAGCCGAAGTAAATCACCTGTAGATTGTTGATTTCGTCCTCGTCATTTTCCTTCTCAACGTCCTCTTCATCTGCTTCTCCATCCTTGTCTTCATCTTTTCTGTTCATACCACTACCAGAAGCTTCGCCATTGTGCAGATCAAGATCTCGACTACAGCCAGGAATCTCTTCCCTCGGCTTGCTCTTTTCTTCGACCTTGCTGTCGGCCGTTTTATCGGACTCTTTTGTCTTTTCATCTTTTTCAGCCTTTGTGTCCTTCAGATTCTTTGAATCTTCTCCCTCTTTCTCCGTTTTCTTCTCCGTTTCCTTCTCCGTTTCTTTTTCCGTTTCCTTCTCCGTTATCTCTTGCTTATCATCCTCTTTGCCGTTCGATGTGCAAGGGCTTTCCGTGGTATGATTGCCTTCCGTTGTGGTCCCCTCGTCGTTTTCTTCCTCCTCCTCTTCTTCACCTTGCTCATCCTGGCTGACTTCCTCGGATCCGGGCACACCACCTCCCAACACCCCCGCCTCCTCGCGTGCCAGACCTAGAAGTGCTCGTCCATAAAGCAGGTAGAGCTCGCCCATCTCGTCGCCGGTCTCTCCATGTTCCTGAGCGAGAAGTTCGCAGGCACGAGCTAGGACTGCTACTGCGAGGTGATAATCGCGCACCAGAAGGTGACGTTTGCCCTGAGAGATTGCCGTCGCGGCATCCTTGATCGGCACTTCCTCCGATACATCGGCCATCTAAGGAACAAAGACGGGGAAAATTTTCATGTAGTATATGTTGCATATATATTTTTTAGAAATGACGAGCGAGAAATGTCAACGTACGCAGGGTACATCGAAAGGTAAGATCAATTAGCGACGATAAAGGATTACTTGGAACAGGAAATATAAATAAACAGAAAATCTGTACTATGTCACATCTCTTCTGTATCATGATCTTTCCAACGTTACGAGAAAAGAACTGAATTTAATAGGTTTCCGTACTTCCTGATATAACGTCGGCTTCAAAGGACCGATAGATGCATACGTGCAGCATTAGGCTTACATCGGACTATATATTTTTGGACCAGATATATTAAGTATTGGCAAAGAGAATGTATATAGACGTAAACAAGGATCTTATTTCGGAAAAAATAACGTTAATTGTGGTGAGTTAAAATTAAAATTAATTTTACCCAAGAATCTAATTATTGTCAAACAGTCTTTGATCTTTGATGACTTATAAAGAAATCTCAATCTACAACGTTTAGCGCGACGCGAGCTTTGATCGTACAACGCAATCGTTTCGGTAGAACAACGTAGAAGGGGTGCGTGGGCGATGAGGTGGACATCCGCAGCATCCGCGAGTGGGGAAGGAGAGAGACCGGGTGGCTGTCCGCGTGGGTCGATTCGTCGTGGCGCTTCGACGTGGAAGGGTGGAGGGCGTCCGCATCGCGAGGATGCCGGGGAGAGAAGGCGAGAAAGAGCAAGTTCTAAGGGTGGTTGTCGGCCAGTAACGAGTCGGGGGACGCGAGCGTCGCGTTGGAGGCGTCGCCCTGGGCGCCGCCGTCCGAGAGCAGATGGAGTCGTCCCGCGTGCCCCGGGGCCCCGCTTCGCGCCTCGTCTTCCTCTTCGTCACCCTCGTGCTGACCGTCGCAGGTAAAGAGACCGGTGCCGCGTTCTCCCCGAAAGAGAGACTGACGTCTCCGTCTCAAACCGTGAAAAGTATAAAGATAAAAATCAATGTGCAGGTTTCTCTATCAAAGTACTTTTTCAAGAAGTTGATACGGAAGATATGTCTCATTGGAAAGTTGAAAACAAAATTACACAGTTCTAAATTGACTTCGATTATTGTTCCGAAGAAATTTTCCAATTTTCCCGCCTCGTTCTTTTCAAAGAGAAAACTTTATTGTGAACCGGGACTTGATAGGAACACGAGCACCTCAATAATCGTCTCAATAACTCGTCTTCCTCTTTTCTCAGCCACGGGGCTCTTATGTAGCGCGATAATGTCGGATCACTGGGAAGAGATCAGCTGGGACAAAGAAGATCTGACCCGCGCGAACGTCAACCTCACGTGGTACTTGAACGGTCAGGTGGCAAGGCTCGAGTCTTCCGTTAATCACCGAAATAAGCATCGTGTCGCCAAAAGTTCGTCCTTCCTAGTTCCCACGCACGGCGGGATTTGGATTATGTGTGTTTCATTGTCAGGTATAAGAGATCGTAGTTTTTATAACGTTAAACTTAAACCTAAGACTGCACATATATATGTTGTTATACACGCTTCAGGATTTAAATACATTAAATACATTATCCACGATTGTGAACGCAGAATATCCCCAGATGTTTTTAGCTTATTCCAATGTACAAATTATCATTATGGGTGGTTTTCAGTTTTGCCGATTTCAAACCGCGATAATTACTTGTAATTATCTTTTTGTAATTATCTTCGAAAGCTATTGTCACAGAAATCGATGATAATAAGAGTAGATTATTGATAAGAAAAAAAGCAAACCGAAAAAAATGTTCTTTATGTAGATAAAAATTATTCGCAGTCGTTCGTGGATGTATGCAACATTAAATCATGCCGTTCTCTTTAATATCCAGATCTTATTAAGATATGGATACACAATCAACGTTTCGTATTTCCTCGCTCGTGCCAATAGAAACATTATCGGTCTTATGAATCGGCATGCGAATGAGGTTTAGGTCTAATAGGATGGTGTTGCTCAATTCCACGGAAAAAGCAGGGATCACGGTCACGCAATCGTATAGATACTC